ATGAGGTAGCTGTTGAAAGGGGAGGAGGAAAGAAGAGAAAATAGGTTTTCATATGCTCATATGAGAAATAGAATAAGGATTGTGTTGAACATATGACTAGGAGAGAGGAGAGAGGAATTAGCCAGATAATAACTGGTTGCTTTTATAGTCAAACTCATGGTCTTTTTTTACCTGTTTTTCCTGATCCTTTTTCTGCTAGGGGTGGAGCTACTGGGAAGTCAATTATTGCTGTTTATGATCATTATGACTTTCTAGGGATATGAGAGAATATCAGAGAAAAGGCTGGAGAAGAAGTGGTATTTTTTATTATTGACAATGCTAAGACTTACCTTTTAGAAGATGGCTGAGAGGGTGGAGAATTACACTATTCAATTGAAAATATTTAGTCTCCTGTGAAAGGTAAGCTTCACAAGTACTACCCTGAGCTATATCTTATGAAGGGTGATGTCAATGTAGTCAAGAAGGCAATAGTAGAGGCCATTACTCATTGTTGGGAACTTCTTGACCCAAAGGTTTTTGACACTTTAGCTGGATCACTGGTAGATAGAATGGAGGCAATTATTAAGGCTGGTGGATGGTATACTTAATATTAATTTCTACTATGTATTTACATCTTTTAATTTTTTTTTATAGTTTTCATGATAGTGGATTGGTAGGTGAGTATGGTTGTCATTACCAAAGATTTTCCTCAGTTGAATCGCAGTTAATTTTGTCCATACATAAGAACTTACTCACTTTATTGGTGACAAGATAGAAGCTAATTTGATGAGCACACAGAAAACTTCCAAACCAGCCATTGCTGAATTCAAAAAGTTATTCTCCCTCTTTTCTCTCTTTATAAATCTTTTCAAAGATTTCTTCACTAATCTGCCTAAACAATCCTCTTCAGACCAGTCTTCCTAATACTCTCTGTTGACAAAACTCTTCATACAATTCTTTTTCCAGCCCTTTACACGTTCTGCACTGCCCTCTATCCGCTATTTGTCTGTCTCTCATTTTTACCTCCATATATTTCCCGTCTCTTCATCTTTCTTTCAGCATATCACATTGTTGACTGAGATTTTGAAGTGCTCGGCAAATTCAGCTTATGTAGGTTCTCATATCTCGGTTGGACTTCAAGCTATTAGCTTTTCCTATCATCAAGATAAGACTTGAAGCTTATAATTAATTATAAAAGACCAATAGGAATTTGCTATTATGGCCTTAGGGCTTTTTTGAATGTGCTTTATAAGTGGCTTTCTTTTGGGCTCTCTCTTCTTTCTTACTCCTGCATAAAACTTGTCTGCTGGAAGTGGTAGGAGCATTGGTTGTATATTTATTCTTCCGAGTATTTTCTTTTCCTACTTTGCTGGCATTGTAGGGTATATATATATAAAAAAGAAATTACTAAAGAATTTAGAATGAGGAAAGTATTTGGGCACAAGATTTGAATGAGATATTATCAAAATTATTCTATTTACTCTTCTTTTTCAACTTCTTATACCATTAAACCTATAGACTATGAGTATATTGTTACTCTCTATTTGGATTGTCATTAGGTTTACTCTTAAGTCATACCGTATGGCTTAATTTCCCACTACTAAATTTACATATAAGATATTTTTCACCTCTTTTTCTACTGACTCACCTTAAATCAACCTCATAGTATACTGATCAATTATTTGAGTTTTTACTCTAGGATATTATTATAATATCATGAATTTCACAACATCTAGTACTTGTACAGTCATGTCTGAAAAGTCTATATAGCCCTTATAGCAACAGTACTACTACTACAAATAATGATATTGACTACAACAAAAAACAGCTATGAGTACAATTTTAAAATAGATAATAATAGAAATAAAAAAAAATAGTTTCCTAATACTGCCATTTTGTATAGCTTCCATCTGCATCTAATACAGCCTGAAGTCTCTCAAGCATCATCTGAATCCATCCATCAAATATCCCTTAGGGAATAAGGTCCTACTCTTTCTGTGCTGCCTGAAATAATTCACCAGCGCTATAGGACCTTCTCTCAACCTTGGAGAATCGCATTCTGAGGGCTCTTTTGAGAATTGATCAGGCATTTTCAATAGGATTGAGATCTGGTGAGTTGAGAGACCAAGCCAATCTTTGATATCCACTGTCCTCTTGCAATTTTTTGTTTTCTGCTCCATTATACCATGATGCATTATTAGCAGCCATATAGATAGTTTGAAGAGCTCTGTCTATAGCTTCTATAAAGGGAATGAGGTAGGGTTGGTGAATTTCAGTTGCATATTGGTGGGAATTGAGACCAAGTCTGTCTCTTTTGCTGGTTCTTTCCTCCTCAGTCCTCTTTGTTACAAGAATGAGCTCAGTTCTTCCTCCATGCATCAATGCAGCATATACACCTATATTGGTGTACCCTGACTTAAAGCTAGGCTTTAAGTTTTTTTCTTCCAACTCTTCACCTAGTCTAAGTCTGATCTTTCTTCTCACTGGATTTGGATCATGTTCAATTGTAGCTTTATCCACAAAAACTACCCATTTCCAAGCTCTTGTCCAGTTCCTCCTCACTCTAGCAACCTCCTTTCTCTTCTCCTTCTGTCCTTTTTTCTAACAAGGCTTTTTCATAGGTATCCTGAGCTTAAATCAAGCTTCTTTGGATATCTTGTTAATAGTATCTTTGCCAAGTCCAATATTGACTTTTTGAGTAATGTCTCATAGGGCTAACTAAGGCTCAGCATCAATAATATCAAGAATTACTTGCCTTTTGGCATCAGTAATCTTGGTTGGTCTGCCAGATCTGACGGCATCAAGGGTGTTTCCATCTCTGGATTTCGCATTTTTGACTACTGTTGAAATAGTTAACTCGGAGAGGTTCATAAGCTTTGAAATTTTACCATACCCCATATCAGTATGTTTATAGAGGGCATAGATTTCTCTTTTCTGGTCTTCTCTGAGGGTTTGGGAGTGTGGTGGTGCCATGGTAGAGAGTGATATTGAAGTGCTCTTTGGTTGTGGTGTTGCCAAGCAGGGGTACGTAGACTTTTCAGACACGACTGTACTTCACCGGGCGACAACGTTGAATTCCGCCCCGTGCGGTTCCATCCCTCGGACCCTACCACAAATGCTAGCGAGCCGGGCCAGTCCAAGCCAGAATTACATGTAATCTTATGCAGATGGCTGAAAACATCTATCTATCATACCGCCCAGGTACCACCACAACATCTTGGGGATAAATAAGGGGGCTCTTGCTCAGCTACGGTACGGCCTTGGCTGGGGTCCGCGATCTGGTGGGGGGGGGGGTTGCCGCTGCTTGAAGGCTCCTTCGGCGAGCCTGGAGAGGTGTTGGGAGTGGGGGTGCTCTCCGATGCTTGAAGGTTTTTTCTTCTTCTTCCAGTAAATTTACCGGTAGCTTTACGGAAATGGACTTTCGCATTGCAAAGTGGAAACTCGGAATGACGCCTCTTCTCTAACCATGCTACTACGGACGTGGATTCTACACGATTTGTCTTGCGGGTATGCTCTGGTACTTGTATTCCACTGTACTAGTACGCACCTCACTCTTCAAAGCCTAGGTTCATCTGCGATATTATACGATGATATACTGGAATTTCGTACTGCGGTAGACTTGAACGAACAACTTTGTAATGAGATTTCGATAGTATGTTTGTAATGTGCTAAGTAAAGTCGCGTGGAATAATCACATTAGTGGTGCGGTCGCTGGTGATACTTTAGAGCTACCGCGCGCCTGTCGCAATGGGACGGAAGCCAAAGCTAGTTCTGTGGTTGATGCATCATGATCCTCCCTGCGCCTTCGACGTGCCATTACCGCGCGATGTGGGCAGTAGTCTCAAAAGGCTCACCCAAGTTCCACCGCCCAAAACGAACTTTGTGAAACCCAGTGATTATGGGGGTGATGTACGAGTACATCTGAGATCCCCTCCCTGGGGTAAAGAAGGAAACACTTTTGGGTGTTTGTTCTTCCGGGTTGAAGATCGTCCTTTAAAAAGTACTATGATAGTATCACTTAACCTTCAACGCGGCTTCTCCTTGGGAGCATTTTTCAAGAAATAAATGTATAAAAGGCACCACGGTTCCCTAGGACCTCTTGTTGATTTGTCTTCTAGGATGATTGGCTATCAAGCGTTGATATTCTTGCTTCGCACCTGGACAAGCAAAGTGTGGGAAGGTGTTGCGAGGGAGGAGCGCGAATCACGCGGAAGTCGAGCTGAGGTTTTCGTGCTTATGGAGCGTTTTTTTTTGAGTTGGTTTGAGAAAGCGGTGCCTTTAGAGAGAGAGGGCTTGCACATGAGCACGTGACGCAAGCAGTCGCAGGTATCACTTCTCGAGACATGGCAGAACTCGATACATGTCATGAGAACCACTTGTATATGACACGGAGGGTGGAAAATGAGGTCACGAGAGATTTTATGTGTATCACGAGCTGTTACACCTAGTACACCTTGGTACCGGTATTGCGATAAGCGTGGATTGGGGTTTCAGCTATTTGTGCTATCAGCGACGCAGCATCGTTATAGCGGTGGCGATAACAGCTCCTGGGAATTGTGGTGGGGTGTGCGCTCTGGTATGTGCACGAGCCCAATCCGGGATCTCTACCCACGTACCGTATCGTTCGAACTGTGATACCCCATACCGTTTTTGCTTACTAGTAATGCTCCGAGACCCGCTCGAGTAAGCTATCGCCCGGGTGAATATATCCCCGCTGTCAAACCAAACTCCGGAATCGCCTGAGAGGGCTCCAAGCTCCGGGCTCCGAAAGTGTCCCCTTTCCCACATACTATACTTTGCTCTTCTCTGAGCACTGGTTATCGTATAGGCTTGTTACATCATTTTCACTAGATCAATAGAGAAATGGAAATATGTATGGTATCATTGTTTTCTTTGGCCTAAGTGAGGATGTCATGTAAATAGAGGTGGGAAGGGGGGCTCCGGTCAAGTGGGTATTGTGAGGTGAAAATGAAAAATCAAACGCATTGAGAAAACAAGGGTGGGGAAAAAGCCACCTTAAGCTACCCATCAACTTTCTTAATCTTCACCATCATATCCCTCTGGAGGAAGAATCCGTATTCGCGGGATTTCCAAGGCCGCATAGGGTTTGATAGGCCGATGTCGAAGGTTAAGAACAGCTGTTGCCAGGACGTCAGCAAGGGTGTCGCGTCGAAGGGGGGAGATGAGGGACAAACCTCCGCGATGCTCTTATAGAGCTCCAAGTAAGCAATCTGCCTCCCAAGGCAATAATGCGGCCCAGCCCCGAACACAAAGTCCAGAGTCTTCTCCATCTTCACCAACCGCTTCTCATCCTTCTCTTCTAGCCACCTCTCAGGCCTGAACGAGTCCACATCCTCGCCAAATACCTTATCGCGACACACTGGCCACGGGTGAAGGCACACAACAGTGTTCTCGGGAATGAAGTAGCCACTTAACGTCGCACCACCGACAGGTACAACTCGCTCCATTGCGCCGGCACCGGGGGGGAAGAGGCGAAGGGCTTCTTTGATGCAGGCGGAGAGGTAGGGCAAAGATCTGGCGACTGAGAAGGACACGACGCTTGGAGGGCTGGTGCGAGGGATGTTTGCGGCGAGTTCGGATTTTAGTGTTCTGTAGACGCTAGGATCGCTGCAGATGAACATGACTGCGGCGCGGATTGTGGTTGCGGTTGAGTCGGAGCCTGCTACTCTACATTGGTGTCAATATATTGTATGACTGGCAAGGCAAATGAGGGCGTGGGGGAATGGAGTAATGTACAATATAAGAGTGGAGTCAATCATGGCTTCCTTCTCTGTCATTCCTTCTTCATAAAATCGTTGCAACATATCTCTTCTCTCGCCGACCCCACCCTTCGCCCAGCGTTCCCTGACAAGATCAGTAGCAGTCTTGGTCAAGTTCCCGTACCCCGTCTCGTCTTTGATACTGGGTGTGGTGAACTTGCGAACCCAGCCCAAAGTCATGAACTTGACCAATTCTTCGAAGTAGCTCATTGTGACAATCATTGGGAGGGCCTGCTGGAACGAGGCGATGTATTGCTTGTAGTCACTGCGTGTAGCAATGAATCCAAACGCTTTTCCAAACGCGAGCTCAGATATGACATCGTAAGTGAGAAACTGTGACCAGCTGGCGAAATCACAAGACTTGAGGGAAGTCTTTGCAACGGTGAATTCGGAGGACAGGGCGGAGATCCAGGCCGATACCAGGGCATCGACATATGATTCCATCTGAAGTACAGAGGAATTAGAGTACTATTGTCGTCATCGCATCGCGAATTAGTGGCTGATATTCACAATTGATACTTTCTGAGTATTAATGAGGAAGAGGGTGAGGGTTAGTACCGCAGGGCCAACTCGTCTTCTTAGCACCGCGTGCTTTTCGGCAGATCGCTCACTGAAAGTACTGCCATGCCCAGGCTCCGGATCGGACATCATGTAAAGATCGCTCTTGCGATACCCCGTCCCGACACCATAAATCTCCGGAATTAGCGCTGGGTCCGAAAAGTAAACCTTGTTTGGCCCGACCCTAACAACAGGACCTTTAATTCCAGCACCTTGGTTAGCAATCGTGTAAAAATAATAATAATTGAAGTTTGCACCACTGGACAAGCGAAGAGAGAAGCCGAATAAAAGGAGGGGGGGAAAGGAAAGGAAAAAGACCAAAACAAAAAGAGAAAGCCTCAACCCGCAAGTCAGGGGCTTATCTTTATCTCGAGATATCACACCTGAAAAGCTTCGAATTATGATGTTGTTCACCGCCAAAGCACAGCATGAGATATATCTACTCGTGGGAGTATCAACCAGATACCTGAAAAATTACGATATATAAAGGGTAAACAATGTGGAGGGACCCCAAACGTACCATACTTGCGGTGCGCGTCCATTATCCCCCCATGCAAATTGCCACGAGCAACCAGTCCCACATTCAACCATATTCTCGAAAAGCTGGCAAGCGCTGGACCGGGCACATTCTTGAGCGGGCTCGCATACCGCGAGTAGGCACAACTTGCCACGAGTGCCAGCAGCGCGAGAGGCAGCACCTGAGTGAACTCCAATACAACCAATGTTTTGAGTGACGGTGCCAGGGACATCAGCAGCAATGAAGGCATCGTGACTATACTAATGAGAAGGTTTGGCCGACTCGCTAGGCTGTTTAACTGGGTACCGGTGACCTGGATTTTGGGACTACGCTGTTATGAAAGCTTAGGGGAGTAAGGAAGTAGTTAGTTAGGCAAGGATGGTTGGAGGTGGAGAGAAAAGGTAGAGAGAGAGGTGGGGGGAGAGGCAAAGGGAATAGGTGAGCAGATAGAGCGGGATTTGGGAATAGCTTACTTGTACTGTACTCGTACAAGTAGGCCTGCTCAATTTCGGACACCTTAGCCAGAGGTGGTGGGTATGCAGATTGGAGGAGGTGGATACTGCACTATGCCGTATGATACTCATGTTTATTTTTATTTTTTCCGTTTTCACTTGGGCTCTTATCTAAAGTTTTGCAGGGTGGGTCAGGCTCAGATCCTTGTATATAGTGCTTGACCCTTTCTGCTCTTATAGCTTGTGGGGGTGCGAGTGGTGGAGGTGGATGGAGTGAATTGATGCTCCATCTATTCTATCGTGATCACTTTTCCCACTACGGTAAGTTAGTTACTCGAGTAGACTGGTGGGTATCTCGAATCCCACATCCATTTCGAAATCGCAGGAGAAAACTCGCATGGTTCTTACCTATTGTGTAGGTTGCCGGTACAGTATCTCATTCCATCCACTCCCTCCTGACCCCCATTCCCCGTCCGTTCACCGACCCACCCGCCTGGTTCCACAAGCAAGGCGGAGAGCACAATCCATACGGTAGTTTGGGAGGGAGCGTAACCAAATACAAGTGTAACCATCATCTTGAGGATCCGAGAGCGATAAAGATTAGCTCCTCTTGAGATCCTGGGAATTCGCTTGGATTCGGGGGAATGGTGGAGTGCGTGTTGTACAGTAAGTTACCGGTACTGATATAATGTCGCAAACTCAGAATCAACCTCCGCGACAATCAGACTCTCCTAACTTTTCAGCGAATTATAACTTCGCCATGAGTCATTACTTTACCCATTCCTTCCCTATTGGTACCGCGATCCTAAATTGTGTACAGAGCACATTAACAAGTGGATTGCATTCTCGAGGGGTGGTCCCTGCCTGGGGCACCCGCGCAGGGGGAGTTAACTTAAGGCACAACAGGATTGGGCAATGGGAAAAGTAGAAAGTATGACAAGTCTATCTCGAGTATTCGCTGAACACCAAAAGATGGACGAGTGCTTAAATTTACCCGCCGAAATGCAAAGTTTCCACTGATTGGCTTGTGGTGAAGTGTGCTAGGATTTCTGATGTTCGACCAATCAGGGGCGAACGGTGTACTGTACAGTATTTGGACGGGGTGCATACCGTAATGTACTGTACTCGAGTATTTGGAGATTTATAAAGTATTCGGACACCTTGGTGAGACATTAGTGCTTGTTTCGGCCTAATCGTCTGAATACTTTACGAATGGCCAAGTACTGTACAAGTACAGTACAACTGAGTTGCGTAATTTTGATGTGGTAGGGGGTTGACACAGATCGGGCGCACTTCCAAATAGAGATGTGGCATTTATATGTGGACTAAACCAGATAAGGAAGTTTGAGTGATATCTGGTGAGTGCAATTGGTATGGGCAAAAAGTCAGAAGCACTTCTGAATATAGATGAGGCACTTTTACAGCAACTAAAACTATTGGAATAGGATGTGTGATAATCAATGATATTGTTTATATGTCATTTCTAAATACAAAAAAAAAAGAGAGAAAAATTCAATATCATGTTGCTCCTCCTTTAGCATCAATAACAGCCTGAAGCCGATGTGGTATGCCTCTAATTAGGCTCTCCAAATGCTCATTTAGGATAACATCCCAAATAGTATTCAATGCCCTTTCCAAAGTTGCAATATCTCCAATTCATCTCCAAGTTTCCCCCAATTTGTTTTTCATATCTAACCACAGCAGTTCAATTAAGTTGAGGTCAGGTGATTGTGCCGGCCATCGTGTTTTCATCTCGTTCTGGTTTCTGTATTGGATAGCATTACCTTTGTAACCAGGTGCGCCATCCTCAACCACAGTTACCCACCTGTAGGACTCACAACAATGGTGCTGGAATGGAACAAGATGAGGATGCATAATAGTTCTCTGTTAGGCGAAGACAACTTGATAGACTTCAAGATTGTCTAGGCCAATTGAGATTCGTTTTTATAGACGGAGATTGTCTAGGAAGGCTCGGACTTGGCTCGTTTCGTTTACAACTACTAGGAGCGAAATAAAGTAGGTAAAGTAGGGTAGAATCGTAAAAACAATATTATATTGTTAAGGTCTCTTCTCTGTTGCTTGATGATGTTTAAAGCTTGGGAGGCACTTCAATATTTATATTCCATGTCTGAGTATTGGCGGACTACATCTATTTATCATACAACTATGTACTTCTTTCAATTGTAATTCGCAACGTCGAGTTTTCTTCCAAGGTGCGAACACCTGTGGACCCTGAAAACCATCACACCCTCTTTGGTAATTACAATATTTCTTCTTAAGAAATGTACTGTCCCCAATAGTAATATCCTGATTAGCAGAGTTTTTAGACTTATAGCCTAGTTCTTAAGTCGAACTGAGTTGGCTCCAATTGTCTTCACCATTGATAAAATGATCAGTCAAATCCACGGCTATATCTGCAAAGGTGGTCATCATTACAACCATTGTAGGTCATTTGACTCCAATACTTTGTAACTCCATACCCAACTGATAGATTTTCTATGGATGACTTCCTATTAACTCGCAGGAAGCCACTCCACTAGACTGGTAATTAATCCCTCGGTCGGCAACCCGTGGTTGCTCTCTGGGTGGTAGGTTTCAGTAACCATTGTAGTATTGAGAATCACCCCATGGCTACAACGTGTTCTGAAACCCAGTTGCAACACTCCGTGAAGTTCGTTGGCTTCTTCGGTAGTGTCTTTTGGAGTTCTACACTCTTCTGATGTATGTAATTGTATTGGTCTCTAGTAGAGATCCTTTACCATTTGATACCATCTCTTTGTGCGAAACCGTCTCGTTACCTACAGCCCATTCCAAACGTGTCATGTCTTTGAAGCCAAGTAACTCTCTGAGTAGTTGATGGAACTACTCTGTTCTACTTCCTAGGCCTAGCCTGAGGTCCCTTCTCATATACCCTGTGAACAGGATTCAGACGGACAGACGGCGATGATGTATATGGTGTTATTCTAACACCTTCAATTCTGTGGTAATATAGTCACAGGACGCAACTGAGATTGATATATATGATGACGTGCGGGCCCCGTAAGGGAGTTGGAGGAGGTGTTGGAGACTAGAGATTCCAATTCTTAGTGGGGTTACCCTACTTAGGGTGGTTCCTAGGTGTCAGGTTCTGGTATTCCTAACATTCTCACATATAAGATGGAGTCAACTTTAGCTTTACAGGGAATGAAGACTAACTTTGACTTTATTGTACCACAGAAACCCACTTAAATTATCTTCATTTGGAGACCGGACTCAAAAGTTTCATTGATGTAATTGGCATGGTATTCCTCATCTACTTTCCATATTACCTATAACCTATTGCTGAAGCCAGCTGTGGAAAATGTAGACTTATCAGTCCACAGCACCTGAAGCCAATCCTCATAGGACCAGTTCAACAGTTTCCTACACCAAGCAACACATATCGGTTTATTTGCAGGACAAATTGCAAATTTCCGCCATGGTACTTGTCTGTGGTAGCCTAGCGATTCCATAATATTTTTTACACTCTGTGGACTGCATGCATATCCTATCTTTAAACATATCTCATCCCAGAGGAGTCGTCTTGTTCTTATATCATGTGTGACAAACACCTCCAATCTTTACTTTTCTGCATTATCAAAGATTAAACGGCGGCCAGTATGATGTCTGTTTGAGGGTGTACCATTTGCTTTTGTCCATTGGTATATCTTGAAGCTGTTATTAAGTTATGTAACCGGTACGGGTACTCGGTTATTGGTTTTGTTTTATGTTTTGTTTTAAGTATCGTTTTGATACTTGGTTTGTTTTAAGTAGCGCTTTGATACTTGGTTTGTTTTAAGTATCGCTTTGATACTGGGTTTGTTTTAAGTATCATTTTGATACTTGGTTTGTTTTAAGTATCGCTTTGATACTTGGTTTGTTTTAAGTATCGTCTGATACTTGGTTTTTGTTTTATGTTTTGTTTTAGTATCGCTTTGATACTTAAAGAGTTTTACCAAAGTGTATCGATTGATACCTTTGATTAGTTTCGTTCATGCTAGACATGAACAGATTTGTGTATTTAAAGACCGCCTGTTTCTATGATAGAAAAGGCAGACTTCGACAGACAGTATTTCAATATACTTGCGTTAGAACGGTTATTTCTTTGTATCCCCAGTACACCCTCGAAGCCTCCTTTAGTTCTCAGCTCTCGCCTCCTCTGTGGAAGAGCAGGCCACCTGCCAACTATCGTATCTATTACCGATAACATGATTAGCACCTTGCGAACACGTTACATTTTTTTAACCTCAGCAAGTAGTTAAGAACCTGTCCCCGGATTTAGGCCTGATCAACCTATCGATATCCACCTCAGAACGCTAGCGGAGAGAAGCGGCAGAATCACAGCACATTCGGCTTCATCTCAAACCCAAGATAGAGTCTTTGACGACCAGGAGTGGGAAACAAATCCCACGGCAAGACCTTACAAGGAAGAAACAACCCCGGCACTCTGCTAAGGAGCCGGGCAATCCTGCAAACACGGAAGATACACAACCTCCAGGAGAATTCCCTTCTACTCCAGCAAAGAAGCCTTCCTTTGAACCTCCAAACGACCCCGAATCTAGTAGCGAATCAGATTTGGCTAGCACAGGAGGAGGACCCTCTGGAGGAGGGAAATCTCAGGCAAGGCCTGAAGAAGAGGAGGCACCCGCAGCATTTGAACCCCCTAAGTTTAAACTCCACCTCCCAGCGAAGTTCACAGGCGAAGGGAAAGACCTCAAACCTGAAGCCTTTGAACGATGGGCAACAGAACTCTCACACTTCCTACTCTTACAAAGAAAAGATGTGGAAGACCCTACAACCGGACGTATCATTGGATCATTCTGTGAAGGAAAGGCAACCGACGCATACCACCAATGACTATAGACGATTTCGGCGGGAATGTAAGATTAAGAGGATCTACGGTTCTCGATTACC